TTCCTAGCATTTACCAGCTGGAAAGTACAGAAGAAAGCGACGTCACTGAAAGGAAATACTGTTAATGGTAAAGAAATGACACTGGAAAGTTAACATTAAAGCTGCAAAGAAATATGTCCGTCACATGAATCAACTAGAGAATAAAATGACTTCATAGCCGCAGGGAAAAAGTGAGTGAGCGAGTGAAGTAATCTTGGGAAAATGTAAGAACTGAAATTAAGGTTTATTCCTTTTTAAAAGAATTCTGGTGTTAGCAAACTCCCTTGATTGAAGAGAAAACAACAAATTATTTGAGTACGCCGATACCATTAGTATAGTGATGACGAGCTTTTAAACTGAGGGTGAAGATTTTTCTAACTTTGCAGATGATTAAAAATTCAGTTACTGAACGCTTAATATTTTTGTCCCAATCTTTTCTGTCAATGCATCACACTTATCAAACGCTTGGACGATCATGCATATTTCGATACATGAGTTACTTGGCAGATATTTTCCCCGCTGTTGGTTGCTGTTAGATTCTGCGGTAGACTAGTTGACAAGAAAGGCTATAGGGCTTAATATGTTCTGCTATTTAACCCATATCTGGGGGCGGGGGGGTGGAGAGATGGCTTCACTGAGTATTTACGCCTGGAAATTCGAACTGGAATTCGAACTTGGCTCTCCGATTTCTCATCCTGAGCCGATGTCCGTTATACTACAATGCAAATGCTGCATTTTTGTTTTGGTTCACCTGTAAATCTGTATGTTACTTTTACTACTGAGATATTACACTTTATCTTCAGTTGTATTGCCAGCTTGCGTTTTATATACAAGATGAGTCCAAAATGCAAATTACAAATTAGAGATAGCAAAATTAAACAAGTACAAAAATTTAAGTGTCTGGGAATGATTTTAACAGAGGGCGGAAAATGCAACTCTGAAATCATGGGACGCATTGTGATAGCGAAATATGCATTCTAAAATCTAAGCAGATTTTTTATGAAACAGAAAAATTCCATTAGAAACAGAGAAAAAGAGTACTGAAATATTACGGGATATCCGTCCTCCTATATGGTAGTGAATACTGGACAATCCCCTTAATGAGGAAGAAAAGACTTGGAGCAGCAGAAATGTGGTTCTACAAAAGGATGCTGAGGATACCATAGATCGAAAAAGGAAACAAAAAGAAAACATACTTATCGTCAGCAAGAGAGAGTTGAAATTTCATGGGCACACCATGAAGAAAGTGGGCTTGAAAAACCCGATACTCACAGAACAAATTGAAGGCTACAGGCACAGAGAAAAACAACGTATAACATAACTTAGTAAGCTTGGATGTTGAAACAAGGTTTAGGAGAAATAACAAAAAGACATATTTCATTACGAGCTACGAAGCCTAGGAAACTTTGGAGGGCCATGATCACCTACGGCCTGAGGCAAGATAGCACATAAAAGCGAAGAATGCTTGCTGCTATAGCAAAAGTGGTTTTGTAATCTCTTGCTTTAAAAACTACCTTTTTAAATAAACTAACAGATTTTTTGCTCAATATGCTATGCTAAAATGTAGGTACATACAGCCGTCAAATATAATAATTTTGATTATAACCCTATATGTGTTAATAAAAAAAATTAAACTATATGTTATGATGTTGATTTGGGGTTAGTAGAGACAAACGCCAAATAACACGTAACAATAAAAAGGGTTTTAATAGGTTGGTAAATAGGTACAGAAATCGCCTGAGTAGTCAATAACTAGCTCAGCTAAGAACTTCTCTGTCTATCTGTCTTAGTATTTATTGATCCACCCACGAGGATTGAATATGGCACAAGGCCGCTTTAATGTGGGTATCTCCGAGCCCGTAGGCTCGGCCAAAAATATAGCCTTTGAACCCGCCTAGACGGGTTCAGGCCCTGTCTACCTCCCCGGACGAAACCTTGCCCTTCGGCAAAGCTTCGTCCAGGTTCCTCTCTGCTAACGCAGAGAGTTCGACAGACGTCGCTTACAGTCAAAGACTGTATCACGACTCAGCTAGACTCGGAGGTCTTACCCTCTCGGTCTATCTGTCTTTTTCCCATGTCAACTGACATGCCACTATTTAAAGTCTTTGTTCACAGACGCAGACAAGTTCATCTTCAAGAGGGGTGGTAGGTTTCCGACACAACACTATAATTTAAATATGTTGCTTATTTTGATTGCAAGAAAGTGTTATAAAATTAGTTGCTAAAAAGCAAAATTTCTTTTTTTCATATATGAAATTGTTTTTGGCTTTTTATTCAGCAATTTTCAATTCCAAAATACGCCATATTAAAATATAGTGATTTTCCAATCACAGCATAGATGTGGCACAAGGCCGAAAGTAGGGGGTACCCAGTGAGGATCGAACTCATTACTCAACCGTAATTATTCTAACGAAACAAGCTTGCTAACCATTACATCGCCTGGGGGTGCCTCCGCCATATTAAAATATATATCAGCAACTATTTACACTATTTTACACAGTTTAGTTTTGGAGACGTTAAATTTTTTTTTTTATTTTATTTTAAGCATTACGCCCCGAGCAAGGCGTGAAGCCACTAGGATGCAGGGGGTTGCAGAATATTTGGAGCGAGAGCAGATAGGAGTTAGGAGTGATAGAAGAAAGGATGAGGAGAGGGATAGTGGATAGATCAAGGTAAGTGGAGATGTCGATTGACATTACATTTGAATAGTTGGAGATTATAGCTCTCAGGGAAACAGTAATTGGGAAGGGTGTTCGACAGGCGAGAGGTGCAAGGTAATAAGCTATTGGAGTAGGAGAGACGGCTACATTTAAAAGTTTCTACAGTGTAAGGGTGGGAGCGGGATGCCAGCCTCGTAGGGCGCTTGAATTCATGGAGTCTGGGAACCAGTGAAAGCAGCTCATCGGAGCAATTACCATAAGTTATCTTTTGCCAAAGTTAACAACGGTCCTGAGGTTGTTTTGTAAATCGGCTGCCATTTTGACTTTGTCTACCTGATCAGCCTTACTATCGAGACAGTAGTAAATTGTAGTGTCGTCAGCGTAGATGCCAATTTGAGAGCTGATATCAACATGGAGGCCATTAATGAAGATTAAAAACAGCTTAGGACCAAGGATGGATCCCTGGTGGACACACGCGTTAGTACGAAAGGATTTACACAAGTGGCGTTTCAGGACAACTTTCATTTCACGATTTGAAAGGAACGACTAGATCAAAAACGTGCCCGGAGATACCGTATCCTTTCACCTTGTGGAGAAGACCTAAATGCCAGACCTTATCAATGGCTTTCGAGATGTCCAATGCTACAGCCACGGTTTCGCCGTTTACATCTAAAGCACGATAGACTCTTTCCGAAATTATCGTTAGTATATCAACAGTTGACCTGGAGAAACAGAAGCCGTATTGCTTGTTTTAGAAAAGACCTTGTGATGAGAGACGATGAACCAGTTCAGCATTGATTAGGGCCTCTAGGAGTTCCCCAAAAAAGGCAGAAGGCTAATAGGCCGATACTTGGATGGGTCAGGCGCTTCACCAGAGTTCTTAAAACTGGAACAATAGACGATGACTTGCAGCAAGCAGGAATGTAGTAGGTAATGAGGCATTTATTATACAATTTATCAGGAGCTAATTCGGGAGCATCCTTCTTAATGACTATTACAGGGATGCCTTTGGGTCCACATGCTTTGTTTGTGTATGCATATCACTCAACAGAGAATTAGTTCTAAGATTGAAGCCAAGTAGGGATACTCCAGATGAGTCAAGAGTAGAGTTTAGAGAACCTCCGAGCAAAGCAATCAGCTTTATCTGCTGGGGTTGATAACATCTTAAATCGATTGAAGAGGCGGGGAAATAGAGAACTTGCACTTATTTAGTACCCTATTACAGAGACGCAAGTACTCAGGAAAGCTAAAGTTTTTAGAGGCTATACGGTGCCTCATTCTCTCAGCAAACAGGGACTTAGCTTCTTTGAGGGTCCGCTTACATTTGTTACGAGCAGAAGCAAATATGCACCTGTTATGATGAGAGCTGTCCCGCTGGTATAGCCGGAAATATTTGTTCCTGTGTGCTATGGCTTCCGAGCATGCTGGTTTGAACCATAGAGATGATTGTGATTTCACCTGGTATTTCCGAGAATGGATAAAAGCGTCCATACCGGCTTTGACTTCAAGAAGAACCTCAGTAGCGCAATTTTCAATTGAGAGGTTGAAGATGTCAGTCCAAGGGGCGTTACGAAGAAAATCCCGAAATGAGTCCTAATCAGCATGCTGGTGCCGGAAAGTGGTATTATGTATAGGGGGATCCTCTTTAATGGATGTTTGCCAGGAGATATCAATAATACCACAGAATAGTCCGAGTTACCAAGAGGGCAATATTGTGAAGCTTGGCAAGGGCAAGGAAAGGCGGTAAGAAATGGAACCAATAAAGAAGCATATTGCTCGTTTTGGCTATAAAAACGAGCGGGGAATCGCGATTTGGGTGAGGGATTAGGCAATAGAAAAATTTAATGTCTGTATACCGGCAACACTTTCTGTAATATGCGGGTCATCTGGAAAGTTCATAGTCTGAGCAAGATAAAAATGTAAGTAGATACACCAGTTGGTAGACTAAAAGACGTGCAGTTGTACCAGGATACAACAGCTAGTCGACCACTATGATGTCTTTTAGTCTTGGTCAGCCTATGACTTTTCCAGATGACTCGCGTAAGATCATTTAGAACGCTTTTACATATTAATGTCATTTGCCAATCGTATTTGTTGTAAAGTAATTTGTAAGAAATTAATCGATATGATTTTAGATTTTTCTGTGTTGCTATATATTTAATCAAGTCATTGAATGAAAGCTTTGACATAAAAACTTTAATTAAAAAAAAAAACAATTTCTTCGATATAATTTCTCGCTTTTGGAACTCTCTTCCGGCTTCTAGCTTCCCAATCAACTTTGATCTTCATAATTGAAATTAGCAAGTCAGCTGGATTTCTACATACAGTTCTATCAACTCCTCTTACTATAGGCTCGTGACCATATTGAAACACCGATTCTCGTACGATCACCGAAGTTAAGCAACGTCGAACCTGGTCAGTACCTAGATGGGTGACAGCTTGTAACTACCACGTGTTGTAAACTTGGATGTGCACGTAAGGGCTTATGACCATATTTCGTTGAAACACCGGTTCTCTTACAATTACCATAGTTAAGCAACCAGATCAGTAGCTAAATGGGTGACTACCAGGTGCTCTATGTGTGGGTGGTTTAATGTTCACTCTCCTTAATAGTATTTTTCTCATAATCTCTAACATTCAATAACTACTTGCATCTGAGTGGCTTTATTGCCTTACTTGGGATGAAATGATTAAGAAACAAAACAATCTGTGATATAGAGTAACATATATAGGGAATTAAGATATAGCAACAGATGGACCCAAAGAAATTAATCATATTTTAGAGGAACATTGGTACCTCGATGTGGTGTAATGATTCTTGTTTCGCTAGAACAGTTATGACTGCGTAGTGAGTTCGATCCTCACTTGGTGCCACATGCTTTCGGTCTTGTACCACATCCAAGCTACGCTTAGAAAATCACTCTATTTCAGAAGCACATGATTTGATAAATCGGTTGTATTATAAGATTGACTATGTATATTTTGATAACAAACTATTGTGTGTATGTGTATATGTTTCCGTGAGTGTGTGTGTGCAAGAGATAGAGAGAGAGAGAGAGAGAGAATGAGCGAGCGATGGTGTATATATATTGTAGGAGTTTGAGCGTGAAATGCCAACCTTTGTTGGGTTATTTAAGGTCGAATTTTGAATGGGGCAATCAGGTGGAATCGAACTCGCTATTCATTATTAATGGTCAACCATACTAGTCTCTCCAACCATTACCCTACCCCAAAGCACTCAAGAAAGAAAGAAAGAAAGAAAGAAAGAAAGAAAGAAAGAAAGAGAAAAACATGAGAAAAAATGAGAGAGAGAGAGAGAGATAGATTGTGTGTGTGAGAGAGAAAGAGAGAGAGAATATAAGAAAAAGATAGAAAGCAAGACAGAGGACAAAAATTGTTTGTGGGGAAGACAGAGAGAAATAAAGCAAGTGAATAGAAGAAAGAATTAGTGTGTGTGTGCGTGTGTGTGTGTTTCTCCTACAATGACTGGCATATCCCTTAGAAACACAGCGGAACAAATCATCATGGTGCTTTTGATCTAGCCATCTTCTGCATTCCAATACTCCATCTGTCTTCTCGACTTTCTATTTCTCTTCTAACGTCATTGTCCGAATCCTGATCCTCCCCAACCCGTCTCTGGATAGGAAAGATGGGGAAAAATACGACAATAGGGCGGCAAGAAGATTAGACCGTCAGGAAGAAACATAAGGATAAACAACTAATCGTCTGTATTTCAATATGGATGATGGACTCTGGCAGAGTTGTACTCAAGTACGGAACAGATGTCAGTGGAATTATTTCCCTTACATGCATTAACGCGTGCCGTCGTGTGCAGGTGGCGCTAGCAGTCAGCCAAGCGGCTCATATCAGAATCTACCTGCATCACGGAATTTCAACAACTAAATAAGGCTGTTTGAAAGCGATAAAAGAAACATGCTCTGGATGCGACGTGTCGATGGGTGTGTAATTATTTGTATGCGCTATATGCTAATGTTATCTACGTATAAACGTGTATACTAATGTAGATATCGGGCAGACGGGGCTTGTAAACCCAGTGAGGTAATTTGTCTATATGGAGGAAAGTACTGATTTGAAACCTTCGTTGCCTTTCGGCTATACCCAGTCATGGGAAAAGCATCGGGAGTCAACCCTGAGGAAAAATTCGGAGTAAGAGTCTCTAAAGCAGTTCGTGGCTTATTCAACAACTTTCTGCTACGTACTGTGATTGCACTGGAGCTACGGGTATAGACATTTGCTTTTCCATTGGACCATTTCAGCGATGTGGAAAATGGGGCCTAATGCCTGCTTTCCATATCTACCTACCCAGGCCTTGTGTACTGGAGAGACGGGAAGCAGCAGTCTTAGATGCTGCGTATGAAACATCATCCAAAACACAACTCTAAGATCTGTGGAAACTGACGCACGCCTAATCGATTAGAGCAAAAAACTTTGTGTTTCTGCTAAAGCAAGCATAATTGTGTGTGCTTCTAGATATGGATTAAGCACCAACAACCACGAGGTGATATACGACTTGAGTCTTGTTCCAGACTAAGCAAGGCAGAGTAAGTACCTAGTGAGCCTAACTAGCGGATGCACGGTGGAGTAATGGATAGCGGCCCGGATTGGGGAATTGGAGAGCCGAGTTCGAATTCCAGTCGAATCCATTACATTCACTTACGTGCTAATACCCTTGGGAAAGGTATGGATCTTCTTCTCCCCCCACTCCCCAGCTATGGGTAAGTAGCAGGACGGATGGCAACTGGTCATCCAGAAACTGTTTCGCTGTATCACAGCACTTCAGTGTGGCCATACGTCCGATTGCTTCAAGCTGGGATCGAAACTCGAGTGATCTGGCAGCAGTCAGAGATCCTATCCACCCAACTATGGGTAAGTAGAACGACGGATGAAATGGCAACCTACTGCGGGAAAAAATCTGCTTCGTCAGTCATGTATCGAAAGATACATGATTGCCTACTCGTGTATCACGAGTGGCACATAACTGACTGAGCTTAACTCATATATGTCGTTCCACAAAAGTCAGCTCCAAATGAAGATTGAGCACACTATACATCATCTTTAAAATCAACCACCGCTTTAAAACAGAGATACTTGTCTTAAAATATTGTAAGCAAGATCATAATAAGGAAGATAATATTTTTTTGGGCGTTCGAAATACGAGTTCATCTAGAACGTTGGTTGGAGTGAAACAGAAAAAGAGAGAATGAACACCTAAATAAGTCCCGGTTGTTACGATTGAATCGCCCACCACCAACTTCGTTATAGTTCCCCTAAATGGACAAGCAGAAAAAAAGAAGGCGAATAAAGCTGTTTCTCTTTTACACATAATTTTTCTACTTCTTTTGGCGTGTAATTATACAGATTTCTGATAGCCACATGCCAACGTAATAGAATATAATGCTTGTATGCAGCGACCAGCGTACTTCAAGTCTCGTGGTACGAGTAGAAAAATACGACAAATTGTTCTATGGATGAGAACCGTTCATTATTCGGACTGGGATGAGAAAGCGTGGTTACGTAAACTACACCTGAAATCGTTTAATCATTTCAAATGACTCGGGGTGCGGCACCCCACACCAAATATATACACCGCTAGTTGCAGCAAAGGATTTTTATTTGGGGGTGCTTACTGGTGCGTTATACATGCATTCACCCTGGTCGAAGCCACATCAGAACATGACTTGAATTTATTTGGCCGTATGGTTAACGACATATATTTACATGATCATGGAATTAGCGGTTTACGGAGTTTTTATTTAATCACTACACACCACTGAAAACGAGACACTGTCCTTTAACCTCGCCATTCATAACTTTCTTTGGTCATGTGACTCAATATATTATATAATGCATTCTCATTATATATGCAAATCGAAGTATGTTAACGGATCTGCTTTATATTTGCCACTGCATGTAAGCAGACGTTTATGTGCAGTGCTTAGTCATATGCATGTTACATGCACAGTGTTTAATTCAGAAACTGCATGTTGAAATGTGCAAGAATTGTATAAAGACCATCAGAAAGAGTATGACGAAAGTTTCTGTATCTACACAAATACATCAATATTCTGTAGCCTTATGATGAAAACGCATTTATTTCATACAATAAATATTTATTTTTTCAGCATAAACTCCTTCCTTGTCAATGCACCCAATTCATTAATCACAAGTATCTGTCACACGTAGTGTTGAATTATAAATTTACAAACGTATTGAAATCTGAGCGTTACTATGTACATAAAATTGAAACTGCTCGTGAAACATCATGACTTAAATACTTTTTATTTAACATCCAACTTGTATCCACATATTTCATTTTTACATATTTTTTTCGGATATAGATAGAGATTTTGAAAGTTTGACTGTTTGTCTTAGTGATTTATTAGTTACAATAGCCTATTTGGTGTTTAATATTCAAGATCGGACATGCTGAAGCAGCAGACAGAAGACTGCATACAGTGCTAACGTTGGAGCAACCCACAATATGGAGATTCATTACGAGGCTGAAAAAGGTGCAAAGAAACCGGGATGCATTTTTCGAGATATTAATGCGAGCTCATGACTCCTCGCCCTATATTGAAAAAGTTTTTTTAATCATTTCACCCCAAGCATGGCGGGAGTGCCACTAGTACACGGGGGTGGGGTGGGGGGTACAGTGAGTGAAAGTGGGAGAAAAGATTGAGTATAGTGGTGATTGAAAAAAAGAATAAAATGTGAACGGGGTTCAAGTCAGCAGAAGATAGCGATTAGCGCTGCATTTGAATTTTTGAAGATTGCAGTTATCAGAGAAGCAAGTAAACGAGAGGGACTTCCACTGTCGGGAAGTGCACGAAAAGAAACTGTGGCGCTTACATTTAACTATTTCAGCAGTAAAAGTAGGTGCCAATCTAGTAGCACGCTTAAATTCATGCAGTCGGGGCTCCAGTGATAAAAGCTCGTCAGAGCAGTTGCCAGGAAAATATTTGTAGAAAAGACAGGTGTGGAAATCACATCGCGTCCGTGAGAAAGTGGCTGAAGTCGAGATACCAAGTAAGGATCGATTACATTGTAGATCCTTCTTTGGATTTTGTCAAGAACGTCGAGATGAACAGAACAGATATGGAAACAGTATTCGATGCACGTATATAAAGTATATGAAGGCAGATAAAAGAATTATGCAAATTGTCTGTTCTTTTTCGCAACGATATCCAACTGAATATTTGAGGAGAATTCCATATAATTTTAAATAAAACTTTAAATTAAAAATAAATTCATGTATTAAAAAATATTCCTTAATAAATTACTTTTATTTGTTTTTTTAAAAATCGACGAATAGATCTCATAGTTTGCATGTTGTTAAGTTGTCCTCGAGCTGAGTAGTCTGGTGTTGAGTGAGTGGTCCTCGCGCTGAGTAGTCTGGTGTTGAGTGAGTTGTCCTCGCGCTGAGTAGTCTGGTGTTGAGTG